TGAAAAAGGTTGTTAAGAGCTACAATAAAATGGCTGCAGTTCTTTTGGAGTTTGAACTTATTTATCATAGAGCCTGGTGCAGGTTTGCTGACCAGGCTAGAAATGCTCTGTGTGCTTCCTTACTTGTCAGGCACCCAGAAACCAAGGTAAATATGATTTATTCTTTCTATTACTGTTGCATTGTTTAGTATTACATATGCTACTTTAATCATATCATGGGTAGACGAGCACAGCATTAAACCAATCTTAATATGATTAAAAAATAAACTACTTGAAATAGTGTAATTTTTTTTGGTTTTGTGTATATTTATAGTACAGACTTCATCATGTCTTTTCCTCATAAGGTGCTTGCCTCATTCAGGGCATAAAAGAGGCAGTACCCAGCAAATATGTATCTATTATTGACTTATCTAGATCTCTTTAGATATTGTTTCATGTTTTATTTTCTATGTTAACCAAAATTTTAGTCAAGGAAGGAATTTTTAATTCGATGATGGTCTTTTCTGCGGTGGTCAATATCACTGTGTTGAGTGTATTGCTATCGTTCATTACTTTGCTTTCAAAACTGCTTCCTGAGACAGAAAATCTTACCATTCTTACTTCACAGATTATTTTGTCTGCTGTAATTTATTTAGCATCTGAATAGCATTTAGTGCCCCCCAAAGTGTACACAGATTAACCTTCAAAACATTTCTCCTTAGCCTACTGATGAGGAAGCTGAGATGATGTGGTGTTACACCACAGAGTGTAACAGCAGAACTAGAATTAAGTTTAGGAAGTCAGAGGAGCCAAGTGGTTAGGGCACAGTGAAGGAGTCGCAGGAAATTGAAATCAGTGTAAGATATTGGTTGATTAATTTGTAGAGGAGGATGACGATCTGTGTAGAAACACGAGTATCTGTTTTAAAAGTCTCTAGTCATCTACATCTTGTTATATGTTCCAGTTATATGACACTACATGTAACCACCAAACTACTGCCTTATTTTCTATTCTTTTTTTTTCCCCCTGTACTGCTACGTGAAGGAATTACTTGTAAACTTGGACCCAGTGGTCCTGGAAGTACTTTATGAAACAAAATACCTGAAAAAAATGCATTTTGAAGTTCCAGATGTTGTCCTTGGCTTGTGTGCAGATGAAGAACAGATTAGAAGACATCAAATGGAGTGAGTGAACACTTTTTGGATTTTATTCTCATCTGCAAATGGGAATCCTTAGCTTTGAGTCTGTTGGATATGCTTTTGGATTTATTATCATTTTTATCTCTGATGGAGTTTAATTGAAATTTAATTGCTTTCCTGGGCATTTCCACAGTAATATTGATAACATGCAGTTGTTCCTGTCTCCACAAATATCTCATTACTAGAAAATGTGTACATGCTTTTGTTTTGCTACTGCAACAGAAGGTCTGTAAGTGGGGCTCCTAGGTACTTCTAAGGCATCTATGCACAATAATATAGAGGTTACACTTCAAAATATTACAGTTAACATCAAAAACATTTTTCTGTTAGAAAAACAAGCTGGAATTTATCACTTAGTTAAGGCACAACCCAAACATTTGTATAGGTAATACTTACATCACCTAAGTTATAATATGCTCTCTCATGTTGAATTATAGAATAGTTTGGGTTGGAAGGGACCTTGAAGATCATCTAGTTCCATCTAGCCCACTGCCATGGGCTAAAACCTTCCCCTAGACCACTTTACACAAAGCCCTATCCAACCTGGCAGCCCTATCCAACACTTCCACAGATGGGGCATCCACAACCTCTCTGGGCAACCTGTTACAGTGTTTCACTACCCTCAGACTGAAGAATTTCTTCCTTAGATCTAATCGAAATCTATTCTCTTTCAGTTTAAAGCCATTGCCCCTTGTCCTATCACTACATGCCCTTGTAAAAAGTCCCTCTCCAGCTTTCTTGGAGGCCCTCTTTGGGTACTGGAAGACTATTATAAGATTTCCGCAGAGCCTTCTCTTCTCCAGGCTGAACAACCCCAAGTCTCTCATCCTGTCTTCATAGGAGAGGTGCTTCAGTTCTCAGATCACCTTTGTGGCCCTCCTCTGGACCCGCTCCAATAGCTCCATGTCCTTCTTGTGTTGGGGACTCCGGAGCTGAATGCAGTACTCCAGGTGGGGTCTCATGAGAGCAGAGTAGAGGGGGAGGATCATCTCTCTCGACCTGCTGGCCATGTTTCTTTGGATGCAGCCCAGGATATGGTTGGCTTTCTGGGCTGCAAGCACACATTGCTGGGTCATGTTGAGCTTTTCATCGACCAACACCAGTTCTTCTCCTCCAGGCTGCTCTCAATCCATTCTCCGCTCAGCCTGTACTTGTGCTTGGGATTGCCCCGACCCACGTGCAGGATCTTGCACTTTGCCTTGTTGATCTTCGTGAGGTTCGCACAGGCCCACCTCTCCAGCCTGTCGAGGTCCCTCTGGATGGCATCCCTTCCCTCCCGCTTGTCAACCACACCACACAACTTGGTGTCATCTGCAAACTTACTGAGGGTGCACTTGATCCCACTGTCCATGTCACCAACAAACATGTTAAATAGCACTGGCCCCAGTACTGACCCCTGAGGAACACTGCTCGTCACTGGTCTCCTCTTGGACGTTGAGCGGTTGACCGCAACTCCTTGAGTGTGACCATCCAGCCAATTCCTTATCCACCGAGTGGTCCATCCTAGTCAAATCCATGTCTCTCCAATTTAGAGACAAGGATGTTATGAGGGACAGTGTCAAATGCTTTCCAGAATATCTGAAATAACTTCTGATGATTTTAAATAATTTCTTTCTGCTTCTTGTCATAGTCCAATTCTGTGCTGAAAGCGTTCTTTGCATTCTCAGAGATGCTGATTATTAATTCTCTAACTCTTTTCTTATAAACAGTGTAATTTCACACCATGTCTTGTGAGACAGGAAGAACAGAATAAAAATACTGTTTTCAATTTCCTGTTTTTTAATTGTAATTAGTTTTCCTTGGAAGAAAGTTTCTCTAAATTGATCACAGTCACTTTGCTGGAGGTACTTATTTCCTCAGTTTGGTTCTACTGTTGATGGGGAGAAAGAAGCTTAGTTTGAGCTAGGAAGAGCTGTGAAGAGTTCTTATTTTTAACATGGGGTTAGAACTTGCAAATCTTATTAACAGAAAACGTGTCCAAACCTCTATACGTTTCAAATATCTGAATTAAGCACATTCGAACATGATCGTGTCTTACAGACTCCAGAATCTGTTGATCAATTACAAAGAACATTTGAACGGGATTCCTGTTATGCTGAAACCGCTGATGAAACCGTTCATAGGACAAGTTGAGGATGCCCTTAGTCCGGGCCTGATGCAGCTGTCATGGACTTCCTTGAACATCAATAAATGTATGTAGTAGGAGAAGAAGTGGTGAACTGTTGATGCTGTTAGGTGGTACCTGCTGGATATTTCCTTGTCAGTTTTAGGAAAAGCCCTTCATGTGTACAAGGGGAAAACTTACTTGTAAATCAGCTTTCAGTTGAGGTAGACTAACACGAGGCTTTCACTTTTCTTCTTCAAAATCAAAATCAGCTATATAAACAGCAACATATGCAACCTAAATCTGAAAGTGAAATGGGGCATGGGTCTGTGCAGCTGTTCATTTGTGACTCTGCCATGTGGCACTGGTGCGTGGGGCTCTGACCAATGCTTACGGCAGGGCTGGTCACCATTTAGTTTTACTTGGCCCTTGCCTGACAGAGCACAAAATCAGTGGCAAGTGTTTTTTTATGTTTGTTTTATAGCTCTAAAATGAATTTTTGTGTTTGGTTTGCATAGTTTAGTAATGCATCATAAGGAAGAACTTTACAATATTATTTATTTATTTATTTGTTCATTTAGGTACTCTCTGCACTGTGTTAAGTATCTGAATAGCTATAATTCAGGTTTTACTGGTTCTTTGGATCAACATTCACTCTGCTGGAAACTGGCCTTTTTTGAGAAGATAGAGGTTATGTAGCAAAAATATCTGGGCTACCTCCTGTTTCCTGCTACTGCAGCTGAAATAGAATCATCCGTAGAAAGGAATGCTTTTCTTGAGTGTATGCATCATGTCTTTTTGAAGATATGCAATGTCTAATGTGCCCAGAACGCATGTTGGACACTTACAAATTAGCCATTGGTTCAGTGTATACAAAATAAGTCTGACCTGCCAGTGATGTACTGAACTCATTATGCATGAGCTGAATGTCTTAAGTGCCTTACTTTCATCTGGTATGTGGAGTTACGGGGGCCCATGGCTGCCTTCTAGACTAAAACTCAGGAGACAAAGCAATAATATGGATTTAGGACTACCTAATTTATATATTTCAAAAACCCTAAGGTTGGATTATTTGTCCATTTTAGTCAATAAAAAAGACAAGTTCTATCGTTAACTCCCTAATAGGAATAAATTATGTTTTCCACTTAAAGCATCAGCAGGCGGACACCACTGTCACACTGCCATGTCTCAAACATCTTAGTGATTTCTTTCTACATATGGTAAGAAAGAATATTGGTGATTGAAATGATACTGTCTGGTAATACCAAAAAGACGAAGGGTGTCAGATGACATATTTCTTTCTTCTTTGCAATGAAATGTATGAAAGGCAGGGAAAGAATTTATCCAGTCTATTCAGAAACAGGAGATTTTACCTAATTTAATAAACACATCTGTTAAAGCGCTCAGTTTATCTCTTTCCAAAGTAAGTTAGGTCATATGCATAAAAGAAGACATCTAGTGGCTTAACCAGTATGTAATCTTAGCTGGGGCAATTTTAGCCATTGAATTTATAAGTTAATTACAATTATAAAAGTACTGGATTTCACTGTGTGTGTATGTATGTAGAAGGACCAAATAGTTTTTGGATAGTCGTATCCTTTCTGTTTTCCATTGTATTTTGTTGATCCTTTTTGCTACAATGTTTTTAATACAAAAAAGAAGAGATATTTTGAAGGCTAGTGTACTATTTATTATAAAACGGTTTAATTTAAAGACTCCAAAGTAAAGCAAGTCCATCATGTTTCTATTTCAGGCCTTAATTGTGTGTTTCGTTGCCATTAAATTGTCATTTTGTTGTAATACGTGGAGGGGGGCGGAGGTAAGCGGAATGAGAGATGAGATTTAAGAGGTCTGTGTTTCGCATGGTTTGTTTTCATTTTGTTTTCCTTGCTTAGTTATTAAGAACGTTTACAGTACCCTGAGGGAGTTGGACTATGTAGTCAAAGAAGCAGCTGATACCCTGGAATGCAGAATTGAAAGAATTCTAGAGGATATGTCAAACACCGCTCTGATAATTTTGCCAGAAGATGAACCTATGGATGTGCTTTCTTTCCTGGAACAGACAGAAAAGCTTGCTGTCTCCGCTGCTCACAAACTGTCTCAGTAGGTTTACTAGTTCCCAGATATCAAGGCCATATTTGGGAGGCGTTATTTATGTATTACTTTTTTTATGCATAAAGAGTTTAATTTTAACATTTTATTTTAATATAGTCCTAGTCTAAAGCAAAATAATGGTCTCAGGATGCAGGGGAGAAACTTCCAGGTATCTTGAATATAGTAGATGTAAAATTGCATGTGTAGTGTTTAGCGTTTCTTATTTTTCTTCTTTTGGCATTCTAATCAGCAGCAAGAAAAATGAAGATGGATAGGACTTGAAATCTCATCCCCATGTTAGTTGCTTGATTCTTAATGCTAGCTAGCTAATGTAAAACTTCCCATTCTCCCCGTGCTCCAAATTTTTTGGCCTATGCTTATTTTCCAGATTATAGCAAAACAGTTGTTCAGTTCTTCTCCAAAAAGATGTCCATGCTCATTGTGCAAAATAAGATACCTTCTATTTATTTTTTTTGTTTTTATTTTACTAATTCTGTTTTCACAAATTATCTTACTTCATCATCATGATAAGCCTGTTCCGTTAACTATAGCTGGAAAATAACTTTTTTTTTCTTTAATTATTATGAAGTCCAGTTGAATCAGATATAACAGAGTCTGCTAAATGTGTTTCTTGATAGTCTACATATCTTAATGTCTTACATTCTCTGTATGCCCAAGCAATAGGAACAAACTGAAAAATATAAGGGTATTTCCCTGCACAAACAGTTCTTCACAGTGCAGTAGGACTGGGGGTGTGTGCCTGAAAAATAATAAAGAGTATTCCTTACGTTTGATTACCCGTGGGTGACCGTAAGGTTGTTTTTGTAGACAAAGTCAACAAGTGGAATGCTCTGTGTATGAACTGGTAGATATTCTTAAGGACAGGCTGAAAACAGATGCTGGAAGAACTCTGGAGGTAAGACCTCTACAGTGTAAAAGGTAATCTTTTATAACCGAGTCAGATGCTTGATATTTCACTTACATGGTGGATAATATGGTTACTTCCCTAATAATTTCCCTTTAACTCTTCAGGATTCATACACTTGTACGCGTCTCGACATGAAACATAAAACACGCTGCCAAGAATGCCTATCCTGTAGTTACTATAATATGATAGGACAGCTTTGTCAGAAGAATACTGACTCTTTAGTCAGATGTGAGTCTGTTTTTTTTCAGATATGTTTAATTTTTTAATATCACTTTAAGATTTTTTTCCCCAAGCTTATTGTGGTAAAAAAATATAACCTCACTTAAATATTATATTTGTTTAGGCACGAAGATTTCTTTAGAGTCCTTAAGACACCGACTGCGTGTTGTTGACTCTCGGTATCAGAGGATCAAGTATACAGAGAGACAGAGGGTTCCTTTGTTCCAAGCTGAAATTCAACTGGCTATTCCAAATGTTGTCTTGAGACCAAGTCTTGAAGATATTCAGGTAACAAAATAATTTCACATCTCAGTCATTTATGGTAAAACATTTATAAACACATTGGTTTAAAACAATGTGCAAATTTAAGCTGGTATAGGAACTAAAAGAAAGGGGAAAAAAGATTAAAAGTCACTTGAGTTCATGACATCACTGGGTGCTAAGGACATGAAGCCAACGATCAGGTTTGTTATGCAGGCCAGTAGAGGAACTGTTTTCCTAAAAGCTCAATAACTCACATTTACAAACATCTGCTTAGAGGCAAATATTTTGTAGTGAATGCAAAAATAAAAATGAATACCATTGATACGACCAATTCGACTTCCTGGTCTCTTTGAACTCTTTCAGAATATAAAACGATGTTATCTGTTTAAAGTATCATTCATAAGTCAGCATTCTGCAGTAGTGAAACATAAAGAAAAATATTATGAGTCTGTCATGGTTTAATCCCAACTGAAACTAAGCACCACACAGCTGCTTGCTCACTTCCCTCCTCCCTCAGTGGGATGGGGAGAACAATAAAAAAAATCCTCGTAGACTGAGGTGAAGACAGTTTAATAGAACAGAAGTAAATAATAATAACAACAACAATGATAATAAAAGAATATACAAAATAATCGCTTACCCCCTGCTAACTGGTGCCCAGCTCGATCCTGAGCAGCCATCGTGCTGACCCTGGCCAACTCTCCCAGTTTATCTACTGAACAGGACGTTATATGGTATGGAATATCCCACTGGCCAGTTTAGGTCAGCTGTCCTGGCTATGCTCCCTGCCATCTTCTTGTGCACCTGGTAGAACATTGGAAGCTGAAAGTCCTTGACTGCTTAGCAACAACTAAAAAACATCAGTGTAGTGTCAGTATTGTTCTCATACTAAATCTGAAAACACAGCACTCTACCAGCTACGAAGAAGAAAATTAGCTCTCTGCCAGCCGAAACCGAGACACAGCCTGAGGCCCTAATCTGTGGAAAAATTTGAACACTCATTTAAACTTATACTCATTCAGCAAAATTCTTACACACATACTTACAATCTCCTATGGTGTCTGAAGTTATTCACAAAGTAGTAGTTGTTTATGGTGATGAAATGTGGACTTTTCATTTAGCATTGTCACTGTCAAAATAAGTAGCTGAATTCTTTCTCAGATTTTGTTTGCAGCCTTCATGGTTGAGAAATCAGACCACAAAGTGTAATTTTAAAATACGATAGATAGAAAAAGTTATGTAATAATTTATGTAGCTGCCTGTATAGATTATAGACTATACCATCACAAATTCAGACAAATGCGTTCAGACATTCTGATGTGAATGTGAAAACTATTATTTTTAATAATAAATAACTATGTTTGTAACCGGTTTAAGGGGAAATAGTACTATAATTGAGTTATAATCCCCAGTGATTCATGATTACTGCTCATAAAGTTCTCTTATGTTCTTGTTTGAAAACCACATAAATGTAGAAGAACTATGATAAAGCTTTATGGAGTACTCTTTCCTCTGATAAAATGCATTTTGAGTGATCCTACTTTATGCTTATTAGAATATTTCCTGTAAAGATAGAGGTGTAATTTTTCCATTTTGATATTGTTTGGAGGATCCCTTTCCCCCACCCGCCTCTTACTTGTCATAATCTCTCTATGTGCTTAAAGTGAATGTTTTGCTGTTTTCAGAGTGCTGTAAACAAAGCAGTAAATATAATATTATCAATAGCCAAAGATATACCCCTGTGGAAATTTGCTTATTTACATCATAAACAGCAGCAGGTGAGTATTTTATTTCGATTATTTTAAAATGTTAGTATTTTGGTTAACATTTCTGAATCTCATAAGAATATGTTTTGTACCAATACTTTGACTTGTAATCTGGTGGATCTTCCTGTTAAGTGAAAGCCTAGTTTCAAATCTGTGTATCAAGTAATTGTACCTAAGAGTAATAATTCATAAATCTTATGTTGGGTGGTTTCTAATAATAAAATAAAAATTTGCTTGAATTATTTTAAATATACTGTTCAAATATGGTGATGATAGTGTAGATAATGTGTGAAAACTAACATTATCCACGGGTACTACTAGCTGAGTATAAATTATTATCAGTTTTCCCAGGCAAAAACTGTATTTTAAATTAAACTTTCAGGCTGCATTCAGCACCTATAATGCTACAGTAAATACAATGTAAGTATTTTAACTGGCATTAAAATGAGCACTAAAACCTTGGGGAGGTCTGAGGTATAGATAGAAACTGAAATTTGTTGAAGTACAGAAATGCACACTGATGGTAATGAGATGGCCTTAATTCTCTCCTTCAGTAACGAAATACAGATCTATGTAGATCTGTGCTGAAAAGTGTCTTTGTCAAAATATCTTTTTATTTTGTTGATCTGGCATGAAAAACAGATCAGCTCATTTCAATTAAAAAAACCACATTCAAGTCTTGCAAATAAATAACTAAAGAAATAAACGAGGAGAGAGTGGGTTGAATTCAGTTTCCTCAAGCAGAATTGTTTGCTTATTTTCAAGCAGCCAACCCCCCCACCGCCTACAGGACCTTTTTTGGCCAAGAATGGGTCTAGATCGTAATTCTGTGCTAAAGAAAGCATGAACACCTGAGCGGTTGTGTAGGAGCACAGTTGTACTTGTATATGACGCAAATTTGACAGATGTCGGAGGCGATTAATATAGAGCTCCACACGGTGATTTTTTTATAAAATCAGCTTTAACACTAGAACTATAATTCTGTAAAAATCCAGGCTAAGAACAAGGAGTCTCCTTGTGGATGCTTTCTCTGCATTTTCTATCTGTTCTTAGAAGCACTTATTGTGTGTGCATTATTGGGCATTCTATAATGTAAAAAAAAATAGATAAAACTACTGTACATGTGTGTTTTCTTGTTTAATTTGTGCCAGATTGAACAAGCTGTTGCTGTAGAGCTGGGTGATGAGAGCAAACTTACCAGGATGGTGGCACTGAAACCTTTAGACAAACAGATCATCGAGCATAAAGATGTAAACAAAGTGGTGATCCAACTAAGTACAATTATTTTATCTCTCAAAACTGAAGCATCGGATCTTCTGAACAGGTTTTCTGAATTTTCAGGCGTCTGGAACAAGGTTAAATACATATTTAATAAATATGTTGCTGTGTTGTGAAGACTTCTAAATAAATTTGTTTGGGTTGCATAAGGAGACTGTATGCTCAGTAGGAACCACTGATTTTGTAGTAGAATCCTTATACCAGTAGTACCTCCTCTGTCTCCTCTTTGTTGACCAGAACTTGTCATTCTGTATCAATTAAACCATCTAAGGAAGAAAGCAGAACAAAAAGGTATGTTGGGAGCATAAACAAGCTTATGCTCTCATATGCTTATGCATCTTTCTCGTAGCATCTTGTCTGCATAGGTTATAAAAAAGAATAATTTAGCAGCATCTGAGAAAACGTGGATTACAAAACTGTTCCTGAATATTAAACTGACTAGTTCTTCTTCAGCAACCACTGCTGAAAGCAGCTTTTCTATTTCTTCACAAAAATGATAAACCAAATCTAGGAAATCTTTCCAGTAATAAGGATTCCAAACCAGAAGAGAATCTGAACTGGTGGAGCTGTCTTCATTAGGAAGTGGGTCACATAAATGGTGAAGCTCCGATGGGTGTTTCGGCAGGAGATATTTCATGAAATAAAACCTTGTGTACATTCTGACTAGTGAAATCCAACTCTATGTGGATGGACAACTACTGGTCTTACCTATCGAAGGTTCTTTAGTCAGGCTGAGAAACAAGGCAATCAAAACAGAAGTAATCTTATCTTTGTAACTACTCACTGTTTTAACTTCCCTTTCCTAAACCAACTCATAGGTGACCGCATTCCCACAGCTGACTCTCTTACAGTTAGAATTCGGTCTAAGATAGGGAATTTTCACCTTTTATGGCTTCTGGGGTTCCAAATCTTAATGCTTAGTTACCTCAGTTTTTGGAGATATTTTTTGATAGTGTGTTATTTCACTCAGACAAGGCACAATCAAATTGGATGATGCAGTAGCATGATAATGTTTCCTTTTTTACTAAAATCTTAGTCAATTAGTCTGCTCCTTAACCTTATAATTCCTTAGGATTGGCAGTGTTTCCCTGTCTTTATAATTTCTGTAGAACCTCTGAGAACTGTGACTGGTAACTCATTGTTGGCCAGAGAAGCCGTAACAGCTTCTCGTAGACCTCACAGTGCAGACTGTAGATGAACTTCACTGAGCCGGGTAAAGATCATTTGTCTGTAACTGAACCGAGAATCTAACACATTTACTGAGCTGGTGACACTGAAGCTCTAGCCTCTGCAGAGTCTGGCCTACCTTATGAAAAGGAAGGATGCTCAGTGCTCTGTTCCCTTTAAACAAGCTTCAACAAGCTAAATGCCCCTCATCCTTTAGATCCATCCTTCCCTACCAAACTGTGCTTGCTCCAAATGGCCAGTCCGTTTGGAGCTAGAAACTGTGGTTAAATATGGTGTTTCAGGAAGAGTGAAGATGACTGAGCACAATCACTACCATTTAAATATCTGTTAGAGGATGTGAGCTTCTTTTGGGGATTTGCAGGCAGAAGGTAGACTGGGAAAGAAATATTTCCAGCAAAGTTCTAGCAGCTACGTTGTAAATTTTGTAGTAATTATATTGTTATACCAATGTAGTATTTATATTGTTATACCAATGCTAAATAATATTAAAATAAACTTCTTTTACATAGGATCCAGAGGAAAAAGTGAGAGAATTTGTAGATACTAAACCAACAATGGCTGAATTCCAAACTCAAATCAGATACTTTTCTGTAAGTATTATATCTTTAATAAAAATGAACTGTTCAGAGAAATTGTAGTGAAATTATAAGATGAACACTTGTGTTTGTCTCAGCAATTAGAAATGCAAATCAGAGAACTGCCAAATCACTGTGTACTGGAATCACTGGATATTGCGACAGAGTCATTGAAAATAGCCTTAATTCAGAAAACAAGACAAAGAACATTTGGATTAGCTTTGAATAAAAAGTCTGCCACAGACATGGATGAAATTTATTCATTCATTGAAAATGTTAGCAAGAGATTGAGCAAACCTGTCCATGACCTTGACGATGTACGGGGAGCAATGGAAGCACTAAAGGAAATTCGAGAGAATGAGATTAAAATTGATACAACAGTTGGACCTATAGAAGAATCTTATTCTGTGCTTCATAAATACAATCTGCTCTTTCAAGATGGAAATACAGAAAGAGTTGATGGATTGGCTTATGCTTGGAAGAACCTAAACACACAGGTATCATAGCTGTTTTATTTCTCAAATTTTGTATATAGCAAAGTTGTCGTCAGCCTTTTTAAGGTTGAAATGCTAGAACAAAACTGTTTTCTTACTTTGTGCTTTTTTTCCTGCCTCTTTTACGCCTATTTTTCCTCTTTGTCTGTATGTAGGCACTGCAGGTTGAGGACTTGCTGCTGAAGGTACAGCCAGACATGAAAACAGATTTACTGAATGGTGTTCAAAAATTCCAGATTGATACTGCAGAATTTTACAAAGATTATTATGAAAAGTAGGTTACCTGTGGTTCAATACAATTATGCTTCATTGGTGATTGTTCAAAAATGGTGTATCAAAAGGGCTTCAGAAAATAAAACACAGCACAGACTCAGTGTATATATGACAGCTGATAAAAAAGCCTAATTTCAGAATAATAAAAGATGGGCAGATACTCTTGCTGTCACAGATTCATTCCCATAATTTCGATGCTGGAGTCAGTGAAATTCCAGAAGAATTATTTGGTTGGAGGGAAAAAAAAATTCTCAATACAGATCCAAATTTAAAGTTTTTTTTTGCTTCTAAACTCAAAAAAGCACTTCAATAGATATTTAATATTACGTATATAAGTAGTGCCTTGGATGTGAGCAGAGATTCCAGTTCTGGGTGTTGCTACATTCACTGAGTCTTGCTCAGCCTTACTTCTGAGCTTACTTTGGCTTTTCTTTATTTAAATTGTGGATATGTGTGCTTCGTTGGACACTCCTACATTAGCAACGAAGGGGGAAAGACCAGAATTTGATTTCCTGTGATGTATCATTGTTCTAGGACAATACGTGCACAGTGTGTGTTTTCTGGCAATGAAGTCCAAGCTGACCCGAGGCATGCACTGCATGCCTGTAGCCCACAGGCAGGGTGAAGTAGCTCCATGTACAGCCTCTGCAGACCGTCTTGCTGTTATGAACAGAATTCAGCGCCCACATAGAGCACACACACCTGGAGGACCTTGGAGAAAATATACTCTCCTCCTAGGGCAGGTGCTTTTGCATTGATGTTACAAGCAGGGTAGTCCAAATGGTAACCAGGAGTTTGGCTTCAATCTTGACTTCACCAGGAGTGAAACTTCTTGAAGGCACACTAGCAGTGCATTTGAGTGCAAGCTTCAGGTTCCAGCTATAGACACAGAATGAATTTGCACCTGAAAGCAACCTGGGAGAGCACCAAGTTGCTAGTGTGGATGCATGCATAGTGCTGCCTGCATTTCTGCTCTCAGAGTTGTCCAGAGACCTTCACGGAAACACCCTGTGGTTGCTACCAGTTGTAGGGACCCTGAGAGCATCCCTGGTCCTGGAGGTTCAGCTGCTTAAGCTCAGGATCAGCTTAGAGCTAGTGCGTCTGAGGGCTTCCCCCTTCCTTTGGTGACAGAGCACTCCCACACAGCCCTGCTTCAAAGCCTTGGGAAGGCTGACATTCCTTTCTGTGGGATTTGCTTTTAAGCTCAGTCTTGACCACATGGCACCCTGACTTACAGCTCCAGCTCTGTTGCAGCCATGCCTGTGCCTGGCCATGGACCCTGCTGAGCTGAACCTGAATCCCAATGCAGAGACTCACTTCTCAGCCTGATCTCGGAACAGCCTGGTAACCACTGGGTTGTGTCTCATCCTGGTTACCTTTGCTAGACCTGCTCCTGACCCTGACTTGCTGACTTACCTTCCCTGCTTGACCTTGGTCCTGTGTAATTATTGTGGACTTGTCTAAAGATCTGGATTCTCACTTGAACCTGACTGCCATCCCCAGGCCTGCCCTGCTCTCCTTGCTCAGGTGTTATGGGACCAGGCCCCTGCTGCCTCTGCTCACCCTGTTACTGCTTTCATCTCTGGGTTCTATTTTCCTTGCCAAGCAGCCAGCCTGCACTGCTCTCTGATGCCCATATGCCTGTATTTCTTTCTAGAAATGACCATGGCACAGCAGAAGATGACATACTCACAGTTCTCATCCCAAAATATTATGCTGCAGCCAAGAAGTGGTCTCAGGCATGAGAGCTAGGGATTATACCCAGTCTTTCAGCTAAGATGTACTCATTAGGGGAAAAATAATTTTTTTCCCCCATTATTTTTCTGAGTGCTTAATTATGGTTCTAGTACCAGCTACTACACTTTTCACCCCTGAATTATATACCTGCTGTCTTTCCCTTTTTAAGAATATAAATGAAAATAATCATTAAAATGTATTTTTCAGAAGAAAAGAAATGCAAAATAACGAAGACAAAACATTTGTAGATTTTTTTAGCTGTTTGTAATATGTATGGTAACCTAGATGAATTTTATTATTAGAAAATAAATTGGGCTTTCTTTCAGACACTACTCTATGTAATGCTGGGACACTGAATATATTTTGCATTTCCTCTTTTAGTGTCTTTTGTGAGAATTTCTAAAAAAAATGTTAGAAAATATTAAATAATGTTCAGTAAGTCTGGGTTCTGTTGTGCTTCTTTGAGAAGCCTGTGTGATTGGTACTTGCATTGAATTTGTTTCGTATCTCACAGGGGCCCAAGTGAGGAGAACATTCCTCCCCATGAAGCAAGTGACAGATTACAAATCTTTCAAGCCAAATTTGATGAACTCTGGAGGAAGTATATCTCTCTTTCTGGTGGGGAAGAATTATTTGGTCTTCCTATCACAGGTAGATTCTCAGGGAATATGGATACTTGGTCCTAGACTATTAAATTTTTGTTGTGGGTCCTGCTAAATGGATTCATTGTAGAAAAATTCCTTGCAGTAAATTATTATTGTGTTTCCTATGCAAAGCAGCTGTGTGAAACTGGCTCTCAGTCTGCACATACATAAACACCAGGTGGAAAAATATTGCACTGTTCCATGTATCTCAGGGTCCAGCTGCTTAGCTCTGTTGCTTTTTCTGTTCAGAGCTAAGCGCATCTCCTGTCTGTACTCTTCCATGTCCAAATTTGGGAAACACATTGCTGAAGTACTCAAGTTGTCCCTGCTCCAGATATATAATGAATTCCCTTGGGCTGTGCAAGTCATCATAAGGATGATCTGTGATATCCTTATGTTTCCTAGTCAGACACACTTCGAGTTTGGAAGACCATGGTGTGAATTAAAGTTACAGCAGAATGTATGATAAGCATTTTAATTTGTGCATACTAAATTCAGTATATTTTCCTGTCTGAAGACATATGCAATAATCACAACATATTTGACTAGGAATTCCCAAAGATATGAGAGAAACTAAACAGAACATTTCCATTGAGGAAATCTATTTTAGCTACTTTTATTGTGTAACGTATTCTGTATTTTTATTTTGAAAGGTTTAGTTCCTTTTCCAACCTCTGCCTCTTATGTATATCACACAAATTGAGATGGGAGATGTTTTAGTTCTTGTATAAAACTATAAAACTATAGTGTGTTCCTTTGCCATTTCAACTACTTTTTCAACATTATCTTCCCCACAGAGATTGGTGCTGCACCTCCCTTGTAAGATTATGTCTAGAAGAATATTTATTAAAAACTTACCAATATAAACAGTTACTGTGCATCAAAATCTGATGTTCTTAGTAATGTAACTGGAAAGGTTTGTCTTACTAGGCACTGTATAAAAGACCACAATTCAGATTTCAGACATTTATTAATACCAGTTTTAGAAATATATGGATTTTTATGTTCAGTAATGCAGTTGTAACTAATTAACATTCACAAGTTTATTTTAAAATTTGAAACAGAGTATCCTGAACTGCACAAAATTAAACGTGAGATTTCATTGCTTCAGAAACTTTACAGTCTTTATAATTCAGTTACTGCTAATATCGATGGATACAATGAAATTCTTTGGAATGATTTAAATATTGAAAAAATTAACAATGAACTTCTGGATTTTCAAAACAGGTAAGTTATTATTTGTTGGAATGCATATAATTTTTATTTCTAGCTTTCTGTGTTAATTATGTTGTGAAAATTGCCCTGAGGGGCAAAAATTTGTTGGTTTGTTTTAAGCTCAGGCTTGCTCAAGTGCTCAGCACAGTTGCACTATTTGCAGACAGTGGTGCAATATGCAGCTAGTGTGTGACCTTGCTTAGCTCAGTCTGTGAGTCACTTTAGGCTTGTTGGTGTATACAGACATGGTAGATTGTAGCTTATTTAATGAATAAAGTGCATAAACCTGTGGCAAGATGGTTGTAAGTATAAATAACCTTCATAGCTGATCTTCATATATTATCTTCTCAGGGATTTAGATTACAGCTAATTAATTATTAGTCTGTGACATTAGACAGAATTTTGATGCCTACTGTCTACTTCTGCACATTTGTATGGATTGAAATTGTTATTTCAACAAGGGTAGGTAGCCACACTAAATTCTGAGGGGTTTTTTATGAGGTTTGAGAGGAAGAACGTTTTCCACGTTACATGCAAAATAACTGTTGGATGAAACCGTGCTTTGTTGAAATCAGGAATTTTTCTACTGTGTTGGTAAAGACACACCTTTGGTTTTTCAACAGCCGTGGCTGGGTCTGCAAGACTTCCCCAAGCCAGCTTGTTACTCCTCTCAGAGCCAGGGGCTCATGAATCAACAGGACTCTTTGCCAGATTTCTTTGAATTCTGATTCCTGGCACTGGAGTATGGACAGAATTGCTAGAAAAGGGGAATTTTGTTACATGCAAAAGTGGAGAGTCTATATGTAGGTCTTAATTATTCTGTGCCTCCATTCCTTCAGAGTAGTTTTCTGTACCAGTCTGTGTTTTACTCTTAATGGGAGTTACAGAATATACATGGGAACCCAATTACATGCAAAAGTCGAAATAGAAATATGCAATGTTTTTATCCTGTGCATATCTATTGGAAAAAAAGATGCGAACTGTGTCTCTATTTTCTTTCTTTTATTATTTTTGTATAAGCATTTTCTTTACCTCTTTACACAGCAGCTCTGATCACTTTCTCTGTGAGTTCTGTCGAGATAAGTTCATAATATAAAGAGGTTTCTCTTCTGCAGAGCCTCTCTTCTGGTACAGCCAGTGTTTGTGTCTCTTTGCTTCATCAGTAGTTCCAATCAGCTTTTGATTTTGAATTCTCCAATGTGACCTGAAGAGACCTCATCCTAAATCTTTGAAAAACATAGAAAAAGTTACTTGTGCTCAGGTTTTTTAGCCATATGGTATTTTGAGTGTGTCAGCATTTTAGCAAGGTCCATTTCTGTGGGGTGGAGATTTTCTTCCTTTTCTGGAAAAACTGAGTGAACTGTCTTCTAGTCATTAATTTGAAAAAAATAATATGTTTTTTAAAATAATAGTAAAAATCAATGTCTGTAAAATATGTATACTTCTGCATTTGGACGATCTATAAGTCTTGATATCATTTCAGTAGAATTCTGGAATCTGCGTCATCATTTTTTCCGTAGTTAATTGTATTTTACAGGTTGCTAGGACTCTCTTTATGCTTCCTTCTCCTGGAACTCTGAAGGAAGCCATTGCATGACAACAGTTTCGAAAGTTATGTGTTTCTCTTTTTACTTCATGTGTAACTTTTTTTTCCTCTCAAGTGTTGAGCTATATTTTGAGCAAGGTGACCACTAATAGGCAGTAAATATTTTTTTGTAATAGAAGTGTAAGGCAGATAGAAGTACTATCCTTCCTTTGACCGACTTGCTAGCGTTATTGCGTCAAACTATCCTCTATAAAGCTGGAGAATTTAAACAGTGTACAGGGGATACCCACAGAAATATCTGAGATGGTGTGCTGTGTTGTGAAAGGAGCAGGAATACTGGAAATGCAATTAGTGCTTTAGCATGTCTGTAAAGATATGCATTGTTCTTGAATGTTCTTTTTTTTGCTACTCCTTTTAAAAATAGTAATAGAATAGAAAACCTAGAGTGATGAAAGGAGGAATCACAAAAATAACTGTAGGTGAAAATAAATCCTTTAAAAAGAGATAAAAAGGATAAAAAATCAGAGAAAACACATGTGGTGGGGAACATTATGTAATTTTATAATAACGTAGAGAGAATTTTCCCTTTATGTTTTACTGTAATAATATAGTGTAAAGAGAATGTTCAGTAAATTTAAGAAGGAAATTTAAACCTGATCAATTAGTTTTTTAACATAGTATATAACTCATGAAGCTTGCTGTTAGAAGATATTACTGAGACTAAGAGAAAGAAAAATTATATTTGTATAAAAAAACTAGCAGTTTTCTTTACCAAGCTGAGAGATCCCATTTCCATTTGCCAGCCTAAGACAGAGTTTGTAAGAATGTTACTTGTGCCTCAGCACAGAAGTAGCCAGGAGCTGCCTCTGAAAGCTTTATCCGTACATGGCAGAGTATAGTTTTCCATTCTGCCATGCCTTTCTCTAGCATATTTAATACTGTCTATTGTTGGATTCAAGATGGAAGACTACACAGATTATTGCAGTGCTTTGACAGTATGCATATGTTCATACACCTCTTACCAGCAAGCAGGGAAGAATTCACAAGTGCTCCAGCATTTCGTAGCAGATCTGTCTGAGTTTTAGCTGTGAAAAACGGAGAAATTCTTGAAAGGAATTTTTCATTATGGGTTGGTTTTATGCAGCTTTTCGTTTCTGCCCTTGAGCTGTAAGAGAACTGCTGTCAGTTTTTGGTCCATAGCTTTGGCAGATAAAATTTGGCATGACTTGTTAGAAGTAAGTGGAGCTGTGACAATTCCTAGTACAAGAGGTTCTTCATTTTAATTTTTGTTTCATTTTGAAATTGTGCATAAAAGAAGACTTTTCTTTAAATATTTTTTTGTACAAACTAGGTATAAAATAAAACTTACTCGATTGAAACAGAAGTCTTTTTTCTGTTTGCAAGCAGGTCAGTTTTGTTTTAGAATGTACTTTATTTTACTTGAAAAAATATATGATATTTAATCCTTTTTCTCCTTTACAAAATCAGGTGCATTATCAAATTTTTGATTAAAGAATGACACTGCAAAAGCCTAAGTTCAGACATGAGTTTCCACATGAAATTAACCTCATTTAATTCAAACTGAAATAGAACCGAAACCATTCTAGGGTGAAATTTACTGTCTTTAGAAGTGTTTCATGCCTGCAATCAGAAACAATCAACAATGTTGCCAGCTTGCAGATGGATTTTTGTTTACAGTCTATGGGTCCATTGGTTGAAAAATTAGAATATATTGTACTATTAGATGATGGATTGCGATTATTAAGAATAAAATGTTTCTTCCTTTTTGTGCTTTTTAAAGAATCCGTAAGTTACCGAAAGCATTGAAGGAATGGCAAGCTTTCCAAGACCTAAAAAAAAAAATTGATGACTTCACAGAGAGCTGTCCTTTGCTTGAAATGATGGCAAACAAAGTATGTTCAACATAATAATTTGGAGATAAGATTCACTTGAAAAACTCTATTGAAGACTTTGTATGACTATAAGATGCTTTCCATAATTCTTTTTATAAATAAAAGCAGCTATATTTATGGCAAAAATCTAGTTAGGCTTCGTTACAGAAAAGTAAAACAAAGGACTTCATAATGTGATTAGAAGAACTATTAATGCTTTCAGTGGAATGGAAATCAAGACTCTTCTATTTGTTTAACAGATTCAGTGCAAAAGTATGTGATCGTTCCAGTCCTAAAAATAATACAATTTTAAAAATCTTCCCTAATTCCTATGGACTTTTCTAGGCAATGATGTCACGACACTGGGAAAGAATTACACAAGTAACTGGACATCGATTTGATGTTGACTCTGAAAATTTCACTTTGAAAAATGTAATGGATGCCTCTTTATTAAAATATAAAGAAGATATTGAGGTACATATGTTTTTCTGTTTGTTTTTAATGAATAACTTGTGATCTGGGGCTCAGTGTTTTTGGAATCCTGTTCTAGTCAGCTTTGTAACATTAACAAATTTGGCTTTAGTTGGAGAATTCTTTTGTAGAATGGAGTTTGGTAGCTGGTATTAGCAGTGATGGTTGGTTTAGTTCCTTTTTATTCAGGAAAAGTCTTAAATGGATAGATAGTGATAGTGTTATACTAATCCTTCCATAGAAGGAATTCAGTTGTTTTAAGAATAGTGTGATTCTGTCATGCTTCTGGTTTAGGGTCTGCGTACTTATAATTTTTGCTTCCTTTTAAATATCTCATCAGAGAGAAAGAAAAGTTGATATAAGTCTGATCATGTTTAGTGCTCAAAATCCCTGGAACAGAGTAGAAGTGGAAGATATAGGATTAAAGGAGAACAAGGTTCTTTTGTATTTCAAATGTGACTCTTCACAAGAGCACCAAGCAATGAGAAGGCTTATGTAATGTGCACAAGCTGCAAAGCCATTGCCTCCTCCATTTTGGGGACAGTAGTTACCTAGCAAGTACATTAGCTTTATGCTTGTTACCTTTTGCAAGGACAAAGTATAGCTAAAAGTAAAGAAGGAAAACCCCAATAGTTTCTAACCTCAGTTCTGTTGTCACTTAGATAAATTGGTGGTCCCTCCATAGTAGCGTTGTGATTTTTTCTTGTTCCACAAAGGAACACTTCTGAGACAAAAACGTGAAATCAAACCTCTGCTGTACCCAATTTCCAGACAAGAATTTAAGCCGTGTGAAAAGTTCAGAGTGGTAGCCTTACACTGAAGACTTTAAACCTGTGATGGAATCCAAAATACTCCTGAACCTGGATTTGAGGTCCAATATGAGTAGCTGCTCCTCTTCTCTCTTATGCGATAACCACTTTTATGATAGTTCTGTCCTCACTGTCTTCAAGAAGTAGCAGGCAGTCATGTTGTCCACATACACTCTATTCTTGGACTGTTTGTTTGTTTTCATTGGTAATGTGTATCTTCCTTGTCTCCCCCAGTAGGTATATTTGACTTCAAATTTTAATTCATTTAATAAAAATTCTGCCTGCAGATTCACTGAGTCAGTGAATTTTCAAAAGTGGAAGGTGCTAGTGAAGATTGAGTATAGTCCATAAAATGTTCCAGTTACAAGTAGTACTGTAATATAATCTAGTTAGTAATATAATAATTTTGAGGTGTTTCAATGTATGTTTTCATTCCCTAGAACTTACACTGAAGTCTGCATCTAGCCAAAGAATTTTACTTGTCTTTATAAGTGTGCATTATATTAACCTTAGAGGAATGTAGTTTACTAGTTCTATTTTACACAGGATATCTGCATCGGTGCTGTTAAAGAAAAGGATATTGATGCAAAATTGAAGCATGTTATCAGTGAATGGAGTACTCATGCTTTCATTTTTGGCCAATTCAAAACTCGAGGTGAACTCCTTCTGAAAGGATCAGATATACTAGAGAAAATAGCTTTGGTGGAAGATAGCCTCATGATATTGGGGTCGCTCATGAGCAACAGGTACAAAACTTGATAAATGCACATGTTGTGTAAATCTAATTAAGCCCAAAAGTAAACATTGATCATCTTAGGTTCTTTCTCCCGCTAACTGATATTCATACAGGTATAACGCACCATTTAAGTCCACTATACAACAATGGGTTCAGAAGTTGACCAATACTGCAGAGATAATTGAAAACTGGATTACTGTACAAAACCTCTGGATTTACCTCGAAGCTGTGTTTGTTGGTGGAGATATTGCAAAACAACTGCCTCAGGTATGTTGATTTGTGATAACAATACATGAATGACACTATGTTGTACGAAGAGATTAGCCACATCACAAAATTTACTTGCCAATGCATATAATGCATATAAATTGTGGGCTGTGCAGAGGCAGTTCAGAAGAAGTTTTGCCAAACTGGGATCTGTCTGAGCTGCTTAGAATTTGGTCAAACCTACAGGAGCAGGACTGTTTGTAATTCAGATTGAAATGTTCCTATCACCTTGCAATATTATTGAATCATATGACAGCACAGGGCTCAGGACTACTTAATGGTACAAAACTGATGTATCTTTTCTCCCGTATGTGCCAACATCTCTTTCTTCCTGTAAGCACATGTTTATAGGCTTTAAGTCATGTGATAATAAAATCAGAGATTTTTCTGCATGAATTCTGTATTTGCTAGGACTCAGTATAACTAAGTTCCCCAGAGAGATGCATGTGTGCTAATCTGCGTGAACTATTGTAACCTCTTCAAAAGGCAATTATGACTTTCCATGATAGCAGCTTCAAAAGAGTTAAGGGATGATCAGGCTTCCTGCAGGAAAGGAATACCTGAATAAGTAATCCTCTCTGTTGCATCTCCTAGTGAGTGTTTTTCATATAGTTCTCACATACCACAGTTTAATAGCACTGGATCAACCAGTGCTGGAACTTAACAAAACCATTATTATTGGGAAATTATTAAATATGATTTTATTTCAGGCTATTGTTAAAGTTTATTAGAGAATCAATAAGCAGAAGAACAAATGCTGCAGCACACCTGAGGCATTTCCTCTGCTAATGCTACTTCTTATGAGGATGATACTTCAACCAGTATTCTGGAAAAAAGAAAATATGGTGACTATCTTTAAAGAAGGAAGAGAGGAACAGCTTGGTGGAGGAGTAATGATAGATGAGTGGGGTTAATTGCAATTTCTGAATGAATGCTGCAACAAATAACTGTCTGTGAGCATCTGGAAGTTAACAAGGAGATGAGTAACAGCCGGTGTGGATTTGTTAGGAGCAAAACTTGTCAAACAAATCTAATTTATTTTTAGGTTGGGCAACAAGCTTTGTGGATAAACAGTAGTTTCTGTGGATCTTGATAGACTTTTGACACTGTCTCATAGTACTATCAGAAAATGAGTCTTAGATTGCAGGCCTTTAAAATGGAGGCAGAAAAGTGAAATGCATAAACAGCAATAACTGATAACTAAAATATTGTACCTGGTATTGGCCGAAGAAACACATAGACAAATTTGAGAGCGTATGGAAGACAATGACAAGGATGAGAAACTATCCATGAAGGATGAGGCACAAGAAAAGATTCAACAAACTAGACTTGTTGGCTTGAAGGAGAGGAAAAGCTGAAGAGAAGATGTGATAAGTTTTTTAAAAAATAAGGGTTGCTCTCAACAGGAAGAAGACAATGTGTTCTCTGTATCTATGAATGGGATGAGGAGTACTTGGTGTACATGCAAGAAAGATTAAGCTTAGATATTAAAACAGATTCACCAGTAGCAAAGATTGCCTGGAGTAGCTTCTGAATCTCCAGCATTGGGCATCTTTAAACAGAAGACAGACAGATGTTGTTCAAGAGTGGCATGGGTATGATCCTGTCTTGTGACAGGAAAATGGCTTTGCATAGTCTCTTGAGATCTCTTCTAGCTCTCAGATAATTTATGATCCCATTAACACTTCATTTGTTGTAGGTGAAGGAATTTTTAAAGTCAGTATACCCAGTGTAGAAAAATATGTATTCTCCAGCTCCCAGCATTTGAGAATTTGTCTCCCTTCACCTACAATACCTTTGTATTGTTTGGCCCTCAATCTTAAGTTCAAGTACAAATCGTAAGGAGAGTCGTGGACCCCTTGTCCCGGCTATGCTCCCCCTTTATTCTGTTGTGCTCCTGCACACTGGCAAGAACTCGGCAAGCTGAAAAGTCCTTGGGACCTCAGTGCCAACTATAAACATCAGCTTGCTATGAGCATTCTTCTCAGAGCGAGCCTCTGAGTAAAACCAAAACACGGAGCTCTTCTAGCTGCTAAAAAGAAGAGCTAACTCTGTCCCAGCTAAAACCAAGACAGTATGACAGCTTCAGACTATTTATATTGCTTTTGTTTGTCAAGTATTTCTACTAACAACTTACTCCTCATAAGCCATGTGGAGCAACCATTACATGACATTGTGTATTACTATTAGGAAGACTGTAATTTCTGAGAAGGCTGCTGTTTGAGTTTTCTGGTGTGTGTTAGAATCCTTTTATATGGATGATTTTGGTGCCCAACATGAAGCAAAAGACATTTTCAGAGCTGTCCCATTTGGACTCTTTCTCTTGCATTTTGAACTCTAGTCATTATAAGCACTGATCATTATAAGCATGTCTATAAATATTAGTCCTGAAAAGAAGACTTGAACAGCAAAGGAAATATTAAACTGTTACTTTGTCTCATGAAATTCTTTAATTTTTAGAATTTGACAAACATGTGGAAGAGTTAATGCATTTTTCATGTACTGTAGGAAGCTAGAAGATTTCAGAACATTGATAAATCATGGCAGAGAATTATGCAGAGAGCCCATGAAATACCGAACATCGTGCAGTGCTGTGTTGGAGATGAGACTTTGGCACAGCTATTACCACATTTGCTGGAACAATTGGAAATCTGTCAGAAATCACTGACTGGGTATTTGGAAAAAAAACGATTACTATTTCCAAGATTTTTTTTTGTGTCTGACCCTGCTCTTCTGGAAATCCTTGGTCAAGCATCTGATTCCCACACTATTCAGGTACAAGTAATAAGGCAATAATGTTCTTTTGATCAATCTTAGTAAGTGAAGATCACAGAGGATTTCATTATTTAGTTGAGAGAATTTCTTTCACTTATGGAAAGATTTATAGAATCTTTTAATACAGGATTTAAAGGCAAAGTAAGGATGCCATATCAGATCAGTTTATGGAGCTTTTTTTTTTCTGATTCTATTGTAGGCACATTTACTAAGTTTGTTTGACAATGTTAACCGTGTGGGATTTCATGAAAAAAACTACGACCAGATTTTATTGTTTGAATCTCAAGAAGGAGAACAGGTCAATATTATTGAACCAATTTTAGCTCAGGTAATGGAAGTATATATTGCAGTTCTTCATGACTTGATTTAAAGTAGATTTATGTTTTACAGACCAACACTATCACATCATGCTATTATTCGACTAGCTGAATGAAAACCTTCTGATGTAAAAAGCAAGAGCAAAGGCCAGAAAGGACAGGATATTTGTGTCATTCTGTAATGATTACTTCACCTGTTTTTTCAGCAGTGTTGATGTGAAGTGCCAAATCCATCACATATCTCTAGAAGGGCAGTGGAGCATAAGGAGGAGAGAAATCTTTTAAAGATTAGAGAATAACAAAGAGGGAAATGGAAGTAAGAAGGACTGGGCTTTTTCTCCTTGTGAATGATTCATAAACTAATTCTTTAAAAGTACTTTCTTGTTTATTTCAGGGCAATGTGGAATTCTGGTTAGGTCAACTGCTGAATGGGATTAGGAAAACAATCCACACCATCATTAGACAGGCATCAATGGCCATTAGCGATTCAGGATTTAAGCTGCATGACTTTCAGGCAATGTTTCCTGCACAAATAGGACTTCTGGGAATTCAAATGATCTGGACCAGAGATGCAGAGAATGCACTGAACAGTACCAAAACAGATAAAAAGGTAGTATTTAATGAGTCTTTGGGGATTAATTAAAAGCATTGTTTGGAACAGTGCATATTGTGAAAAGTTAAAAGTAACGTGTAGTACAAAAGCACAAAATACTAGTTGAGTAACCAGGACAACAAACTAACTAACAGGAAAATGGAATGATAAAAAATGTGTTAAGAGGCCCCACCTCCTCAAAATCTCCCAGGATGTGCTTTAGAATTGTTCCTAATCCTGTGATTTTCTCTATTGTTCTCTCAGCGCAGTTATTTTGGGAAGGGACAATTTCTCAGTTTGGGAATATAGGGAATCTTATCTTATTACTTTTGCAAAATCAAATTTGGAAAGAAATAAGAGCTCCCAAAATTGGGGGAAATAACTGTGCTTCATGGGTGCTGGTCTACTGTAACAAAGTGCATTAAATTCTTCAGTTGATGAGCTCTTTTTTTAGGGAAGGGAAAGAATAGAAGCCATTTGAGGAGGTGCTGGTTTAACCTCAAACACGTAGAAAAGGTACTGTTAACACCAGCAGTGTTATTACTAACACTGAATCTATAAAGGAGGAAGGAGAGGATGTGACTAATGAGTTGCAAATTTCTGTTAATCAAGAATATACGGTGAGATTGGACTAAGAACTAGTAACACCATCCTATCATAAAAGCAAAACCAGGGGAATGGTACCATGCTGTACTTTGATATTGAATGGAAACAAAGACTACAGATTACAGACTACGGAGAAGACCACTTAGTGCTACGTTTTCTGCATTGTACAAAGTTTAAAAAGGGCATAGACCTGCTTTTAGTCCACTCCATTTCATATATTAACTAGACTCAAAGATTATTTTGCGTTAACTAGAGAAAAACTTTCATTTATTTGAGATGAACAGTGTGTGTGAGTTTGGGGGGTGGGGAGATTGTTTAGTTCTTCATTAGTTTTGAAGTGGTTTTAGCTTTTTTTTTTGGTCAGCAAACAGAGTGCATTTTAGGCTTTGCATATATTTAAAGCTAGTGTGATTGTTCTCTGACAGATTCAGAACAGGAGTATGTAGGAGCTGCCCTTTCTGAAGCCTCAGCGCTTTATAATTTGTTGTGTGTCAGGAACATCACTGACAGAGGCTAATGCTGTTTACCTAAGTCAATATTGTATAGCCAGTTTGTATTTTGTTGAATTTTGTAAAAGAATCTGGTGCCATAAAAAAAAAAATTTTAGCATTGACATCTAGAATTACACTACATTTCCCCCCTCCTATGGTTAGAAGATGTGCTAGATGTCCAGGTTCCTGTTCCCCCTAAAGAGCAAATATTGCTTGGGCTGATGTGCAATACCCAAACTCAAAGACTGCTTGTTATGAAAACATGCAGAGATGCAATCAGCTGAAGATGTTATATATAGAAGAAGGAGCAACAGTCTTGGAATAAAATCTTGTGATGTGACCTGTTCACCCAGATATAGCTTTTTTGTATTCTCTTGGGCTAAGAATGCATGCATGGAGGGCAGCTTGCAAATCCAAATTTAGAATTCCAAGACTAATAAATACAAAACAGATCATAGATGTGATGAGTCCATATGTTTGCAGATGTTTTTTATTTTTTATTCTAAACATTGGAAGAAGTGGAGGGTTGGAACTAGATGATCTTTGAGGTCCCTTCCAACCTTGACCATTCTATAATTCTTTAACAAATGATCTTTGTATTAATATGGCTGTTCTTGCTATGTCAAAAAGGTAATGCACACAACAAATCAGAAGTTTTTGGAACTTTTAAATGATTTGATTGACATGACAACACACAATCTGACAAGAATGGAGCGCACAAAATATGAAACTTTAATCACCATTCATGTACACCAGAAGGATATCTTTGATGATTTGGTAAGTTTTTGAAAACCTTTAAGGGATATTCTATATGGAAGTTTTTGCACATATAAAAAATTTATAAACTAATCTTACCATCTGTTATCTTTGACTAGGTCTGACATTAGTGCTGTGATATAGCATATCAGGTCTAGTTTGATTTCATATAGATGTCATGCAGAGATAAGGGTGAATTATATATAGGTATGTTCATAGGTTCAGACTTCAGTTTTTAAAATGATTGTTGATACTTATCATGCACAAATTCACTGTGAGCAAGAGTTTAACTTTTTAAATTAAACTATTCTCTCAAATTGAAAATTTAATACATTATTTAATTGAAATATAAAAGGAAAAAAGTCCCCTTGGTATTGCTATCAATCATGTGATTTCCAGCCCAGTTATGTGTTGGTTTAAGGTAATATTTGTTCAAAAGTGAAAGCAGTGAGGCTCTATATATTTGAAAAGGGTAGCAACAATAACCAGAACAGATATTTTAAATTTCTTTTATACTTGAGTTGCATCAGACTTCCTTTAGATAAGTATATCAAATACATAAAACTATAGTTATAAAAATTGAAGTAAAGTAACTTTCAAAAAGCTTTCATGATGCAAAGGTTGATAGTTCAATACTGCATTTTTTAATTTATGCATATATTGGAAAAATAAATGCATGAGTAAAGAAAAAATCATAAAGAAAAATACTGAAAGTTAGGAAGAAAACTGCCAGCTTCTAATATAGGCATGGCATTTATCCTCTGCCTGTAATTTTTAATTTATTTTAATAATGATTTTCTTCAGTGAACATTTAATTGTCAATTAATTTAATATCATATTATAATCAAATTAAATCACAGAAAATTGGTTAAATTTAAAGGGTCCGTATGTGAAATCAAGAATTAGGGGCAAGTCCAAAACTAGGGAAAGGATTCTTAATTGGTACATGTAATATTATCCTTTTCTCTCCAAATGTTCTATTCCCTGCTAATCATGTCCTTCTGAGATTGAAAGTAGAGGGAAGTGGCTGAGTATCCAGAACCTCCTCATCACCTTACACCGTGTCTGCAAGGCCAATAACCAGGGCTACATATTCTGTAAGACACTGGTGGTTTTGAGATCAAGTGTCAAAAATAACGAATCAAGATCTATTGATCTGCCACAAATCTGTGTGTGGCAAGTTCATACTGAAAAATACATCCCAAATGAACAAACACATAGACGTGTATACAATATATTAAAGCATTGTCCATGATTTAGTGTTTCTGTGAATAATGGCACCAGATACCATGCAGTGTAACCAGTATTGGTACTTAGTTTTTTATGAAGTTTTCCACCACTGTTCTTCAATGTCTCTTTAAAACACAATTCATAAGCTCTTTACACAATGCAGAGGAAAATCAAAGTGGTGAAAAGGTTTGGAGCATAGAAAGGTTTGAAAAGGTAATTCTGGATGTCTTGACTCTTATAGATTCTGTGCTTGTTCTTCCAGCTGTTGAATTTATGCATAGTAGACTTTTTTTCCTGTATGAAATTTAAGATGAATTTGTTATACTGTTTCATTTCTGTATTAATGATTTTTCTTTCCCATTACAGGTCCGTATGAACATTAAATCTCCATCTGATTTTGAATGGCAAAAACAATCTCGATTTTATTTCCTGGAAGACTTGGATAAATGCATTGTCCAAATCACTGATGTAGAGTTCACCTACTGCAATGAATACTTAGGGTGTACAGACAGGCTTGTCATAACTCCCTTAACTGACAGGTAGTTATAAAAAGAATGCGGCGCATAGTACTGGAGCTAAGACTTAATTCCTTTAACTTGCACGAGTTAGAATTCTTTGGTTTCACTGTAGTGCTGCAGTATCGTTGGTGGACAGCAGAGGCCAGTGCTTGTAGATTCAGCTAGCAAAAGCAGGCACCCTTGGGAGGGGTCTTGAATTCTCTTTCAATGTTTGCTTTAGCTGTACATGCTGTGGTAGGCATTGAAAAACTTATGCTCAAGATAAATATAGCTGAATACCATACACTTCACCAGCCTAAACAGAGTGAGTCTAAAACCCAATATATTACTGCTTTCAATAAGCTAGTAGTTGCATGAGAATTTGGGATTATGGCAAGTGATCATTTGAAGTCACCCTAGAGGACGCAGCATTGAATAACTACTGCCAATACGGTTTTAAGCAAGGCCTATGGAGAATTACAGGACCTCAAACACAGAAAAAGCTCTGAGGGCAAAATATAAGGAGAATGTTTTATTGCTGGAGTGTTAGTTATACAGCACAGCACAAACTCCATTAAATGCATATTTTCCTAAAGTATTTGGTAGTGCTTCAGCTAGGCAAGAGGCAATGTATTTGCCATGCCAGAGCTTGTTCTTTTAAGTGTGGATAGGAATGTCAAAATGCAGTGCATGTTCAGTCATTTGCTGTGTGAAGAGTGACTGCAGGCCGTTGAATCAACATTGGAATTGTCTTTGCACTCTCTGTGCTAGTAGATTTTACTTATTAGTGAAACTTCAGACTTTTGCTAATTTCTGAACCAAAATTATGCCCAGTGAGCTATTTAAGAGAGCCAAAACCCTATGCTTGGATACCTGGCTTTTAATGTGTAACACACATCTGCCAAATTCTGTTATGTACCCTACTATTCCTATGCTGGATAGAGGACTGTTTGCAGCAGTAAACATGCAGTTGATTAGTGGGTATGGCAGCACTACCACACAGATGATATTTTTGCCCGCCAGGAGAAACAGTATCAAGACAATATTGTCATTCAAAATTTGTTCACAGAATTAAAATGTGACCAAATTGGTCAGGGATTGATTCAAGGTGCTATGTCAGAAGAGACTGAAAACTAGTGACATTATTGAAGAGAATAACAACAAAAAAGAATAGAAGTATCTGTCTTTGAGCAAACCCAGAAGAGCCAAACAGAGCTGCAGGGATTGGTGACTATCCACTGTCATATATTGAAAGAGTATTTGAAGCAGAGTTGCTTTCTAATGTTGGTATGCGAAACTTACATAACTAAGCGGTGTTGCCTAAGAGCGGATTTTATTCTCCTTATAGGCTTTTTCCATTTTAGTATTTTTAATGTTGCTATATGGACTTGTAGGATCTTCTGAAAATTTTCGGGTAATGATATCTTTGCTTTGCATTAATCAGCTTGGAGTCAAGTGCTGTCTGGCTAATGATTTTGTGTTCAGAAGGATTCCCAAAGCACATGATAAATACACACTGGCGGTACTACATTACGTTGAGATAACAGGACTGAAATTCAGTGCTCCTAAACATCATGTCAGACATAGACCATGTCATGGCAGTTACAAAAAATGTAATGCAAGTTCTACTTAGGACTTGTACTGTGTGTACAGTTTGTCCTTACCTCATTTTCAGTAGCAGAATTGTTAGGAGTGGTGTTTTTTTCTGTGTTAACTGAGTCCCTGTTAACTGAGTCATAGAGTCATAGAATGGTTTGGGTTGGAAGGGACCTCAAAGATCATCTAGTTCCAACCCCCCTGCCATGGGCAGGGACACCCTCCACTACATCAGATTGTTCAAAGCCTCATCCAACCTGGCCTTGAACACTTACAGGAAAGGGGCATCCACCACTTCTCCAGGCAACCTGTTCCAGCACCTCACCACCCTCAGAGTGAAGAATTTCTTCCTTAGATCTAATCTAAATCTACCCTCTTTCAGTTTAAAGCCATTGCCCCTTGTCTTATCACTAAGTCCCTCTCCTGCTTTCTTGTAGGCCCCTATTAAATACTGGAAGGCTGCTAAAAGAGAGCCTTCTTTTCTCCAGGCTGAACAACCCCAAGGTGATAAAGCATTATTGCTGCTATTATTTTAGAATGAGTACTGTATTATTTTATACAAGTGATACTAGCTGGTATCATTTGGGTTTTTTCAGTGACCATTTTCTCTCTCTAGATATATCATAAAGCTATTGAGCTTCACAGTGTTAAAATGGGCTTACTTGGATTTTTGAGCATTGTAGGTTAGAACAACAGTCTTCCTACACTCTTCAGTAGTCTTCACACCATCTGGGGAGGCTGAGACTTAAATCTGAGGATGTCAACCCCGGATGAAGGCTGAAGCAGAAGGTGGTCCCAGGATTCATCTACCCCTCCTCTTTTTTCTCCATTACCCATTACAATCTTTCTTCTTCTCCACTCTCCTCCTGGAACTAAAAGACCTGATGTGACTGGCAGCACTGCTCTGGCTTGGCATGCTGGCAGGGAAATGGCAAGAACAGGAGCTCCTTCCAGCTTTTGTGCCTTCCTTGCTGCCAGATCAGAGGAACTCATCTTGCATGGAGGATGGGAAAAAAGGCAGAAACTCAGTGGATCTGGGATGCTGCAGAATGAGACTGAGTCATAGAGGGAGGATGTATGTTTAATGTGAGAAAATCATCATACTACAGTATTTTGGTATTCAGCATTTAGAATTGACCTGTGCAATTCCTGGGTACTTCCTGGACTGTTGCAGTCATCACTGTGCTTGGATGCATGCTTTTCTGCAGGTGGAGCAAAGGTGGTACCTGGTAAGTCAGCTTCACAATGTGCAAAGGATGTGACTGAGGACTTACCACATGGAAGCTCACCCATTTCTGCCCTCTTCCCCAGCTCTGGAGGGTGTGGGGTTGTTACATTAATGCTGTGGTTACATTAATAGACTTCAAGTAATTAATAGTAGAAAAAGATTAATAGAACTCTTTGTTCTGTCTCTAGGTGTTACATCACTCTGGCACAGGCCCTAGGCATGAGTATGGGTGGTGCACCAGCAGGACCTGCAGGCACAGGGAAAACAGAAACAACTAAAGACATGGGCAAATGCCTGGGAAAGTACGTTGTTGTTTTCAATTGCTCAGATCAAATGGACTACAGAGGACTTGGCCGTATTTATAAAGGTAAGAAATAATTCGTTTTGTTCATTTTAGAGTCACAAGTTTTTGTCTCTTCACTAGTGAGTTAGCAATGATTAGTAGGGTATTTTCTTCTCTGTTATCTCTTATTTACAGATGCTTATCAACTTTTCCTGATATTTGATTATTTCTCCTTGGGGTTTTTTTTTTGTTTTTTTTCTTCCTGCATGCTTTCCAGTCTTTTTTTTTTTTTTTTTTAATTCTTGGAGGATGTTTCCTATCTATATATTCTTTTCTTTTTCCCTTTTAATCCTATCTACTTATTTTCTATGCCTCTATCCCACCCATCCCAAGGGGGAAGATATTTGGCCCTCCGTTGCCATTTTTGTTTCAAGCAAGACAAACATATATGAAGCTCAATGATGTTGTGCAAGGCAGGGAAACATACAAAGTGGTGAAGTGTCTTATTTTGAACTCCAGAACTTTTCTGAAACCAGGAAAATGAGATAGTAGTCAAACCAATAACTTTTCATGATAAGCAGAGCTTTGAAGTCAGTTTTGCAACAGTGATCAGATGGTCAAATATCTGTGGGCTCCATTACACCTATTTTCTTGTATATAACTCCTACTAGTTATATGGACTGGCCGACCATAGAACACCACCATTTTCTGTGAGTGGTGGGCTCTTACATTTAATGCAAGGTCTCATAAACACAATTTTCACTGTTGTGATATCTCCTGAAGGTTAAAATATAAGTTGGAGATCATTTCTAGTTTTCCTAGAATCATAGAATCATAGAATCATTTGGTTGGAAGAGACCGTCAAGATCATCGAGTCCAACCATTCACCCTGCACTGTCAGGGTCCCTAAACCATGTTCCTCAACACCAAATCTACACAATTTTTAAACACCCCCAGGGATGGGGACTCCACCACATCCCTGGGCAGCCTGTTCCAATACTTCACAACCCTCTCTGTAAAGAAATTTTTCCTGATATCTAACCTAAATTTCCCCTGGCGCAACTTGAGGCCATTCTGTCTCGTCCTGTCATTCATAACGTGGGAGAAGAGACCAACCCCCATCTCCCTACAACTTCCTTTTAGGTAATTGTACAGAGCAATAAGGTCCCCCTGAGCCTCCTCTTCCAGAGCAATAAGGTCCCCCTGAGCCTCCTCTTCTCCAGACTAAACAGTCCCAGCTCCCTCAGCTGCTCCTCATAGGACAAGTTCTCTAAACCCTTCGCTAGTTTCGTTGCTCTTCTCTGAACCCGCTCCAGCTCCTCAACATCCTTCTTGAAGTGAGGGGCCCAAAACTGGACACAGTACTCCAGGTGTGGCCTCACCAGTGCTGAGTACAGG